ATATTTTTTAATGCATGAAATCAAACGTAATTTCAACATTTAAATTTATTTACTATTTTTATTTTTGATAACTTACTGAGACTAAAAACTTTAATCAATTATAATTTCTGCACTGATTTTTAGAATAAAAAAGTTAAAAAATGTTAAAATTAGTTGTGACTATGTTTTGAATCAACTTTGGCGCCAATAAAAAATGGTTAATTTTTCTTTTAGTAACAAAAATTGAGTATCATCCGCTTATCTTATTGCAATTTTGCATATTTAAGTGAAATTTCAATAATTAGTAAGGGTTTTTAAGGGACTTGAAAATGAATGTTGCAATGGGATGTACAATCGGACGGAGAATTAAAGGAACCGGGCTTTATCACTGTAAATACAGAAATCCGATTTGTCCATCGGAAAGTAATTTTGTGGAAGACGATGTGTTTATAGTTTGTTGTTGTGAAGGATATCATTTATGTAATCATGACATGACCGTATACCATGCCATCAATCGCTTTCCTGAATTTTTACAAGTTAGCTTTATACTTTATTTATATCATAAGCACAAAAGAAAGTGCAAAAAAATTTATGACTTAAATTATTTAAAAGGATTATCTTACTTAATAACTCAATTCAGAATCGAAAAAAGCCATAAATATGAGTAACTGCAAGAAATAATCTGAGAATTATTAATACAAATAAATATGAGTAGTTGGAAAAGAAAGTCAAAATATGTACAATTGATAGTATTATTGCTGATTACCATGAAAGATGTTCTAGAAAATCCAAATATGGGCAACGAATTCGTTTGCAAATACTGAACTTTACAGAATCCGTTATGCTCTCAGCCATCAGCGTTCAGATTTGTATTCCTTCCGAAAACATATCCATATTGTGCAGTGCATTATGATTATGTATTAAAAAAAGTAGTCTTTCTACAAACTTATCTTAATATGGATTTGCTACGAGAGCAAGATCACAAGTTATTTTATATATCTAATCTTAATTAATCTTAATTTTGCTCTTGCATTTATCAATTTTGATATCGAATTTAA